AATTTTTGCTTAAAATATTACTTTTTCTCTATTTTCTTGATTAATCTTTTACCTTTTGATCCATAAAATACCATGAGGTCTGTCACTACTTTCTTCAAACATCTTTTTTATTCAGGCTTACTATCCGAAACCCAGATATAAGGTTCTAGAAGAAATAGAAAGTTACTTTAGAGGCAAATCTTGTTAATTTTTCTTAATGCTGGAACCAGAATTTTTGACTTTTTCTCTAGTTTCTTGATTAAGCTTTTACCATTTGATCTTTGCCATGAGGTCTGTCTCTATTTTCTTAAACTCTACATGTCTGTATATCTTCAAATATCTTGTCTATATCCAAGACCGAGATATTTGGTTCTAGAAGACTTGAAAAGCCAGAGAATATTTACTTTAGAGGCAAATCTTATTCATTTTTTAAGCTGGAACCAGAGAATACTTTGCGTTTTGGCTTAAAAAGATGACGTGAAATGTATTTTGATTATCATCATTTTGGAGATTTAACTAAAGGATCAAACGGGACCAAAACTACAGTTAAACACTGCTGACAGTCATTCAAAAATGTGTATTTTTAAACTCTGAAAATGTATTTTTTTTTAGGTCGAAAACGAAGCTGGGCCTGCAGAGGAAACAAAAGAGGAATCGGATGAAGAGGATGAGGAAGATGAAGACGCTGGTCGCATACGGTTCAAATCTGAAAGGAAGGATGGCGCTGTTGTGCGGCTGGCTGATGCAGGAAGTAACCGGAGAAATATTCCCGAAACACTAGGTACGCATTATTCCTTTATCAGGGTGTCCGCGGGGTCTTAAAAAGTATTAAAAGTTGATAAATCAATTTAGCGAAAATTAAGGCTATTCAAAAATATTAAACGTCATTTTCCACGGTATTAAGAAGGTCCACCGCAACGACAACATGAGACACCCTTTAATTCACTGCAACGACATGTCGGGAAGCCCCCTCAAGGCGGCCCCATGCATAGCGCCCGTAAAATGCTGCTTCTTATTTTAAGTTTCGTTGCCTTGCTTGGTTCGAGGGAAACTGCCAGACTCTAGAATCGCCATTGTCGTTGGGGATCAAAGCTGTCCGGTCCCACATGCTAAGTGCTAGCCAGAAAGCCGCAGCGTTTAAGTCCCGACTCTCCCGATAGCCAATCCGTGCCTCCCCTGACTGCACGTCGCTGACACGCACCGCTGCAGACTCTCTGCACGGAGGAGCAGTGGAGTCCGGCCGATGCTGCTCCTCCAAGGAAGAGACACACGTTCACTAAGCCGAACTATATCCGGTCACAGAGATCTGCTATTTTAAAGTAAAGTCAACACATATAAATATAGTCAATATTAACAACGAGAAAAGTGTTAACATATATATCGTTTTTTGCTTTATCTCTTGGGAAAAATGCCTAAATCAAATACTAATGGTTTATTTTTCTAATAAACCTTGCATTGGGTTAGTCACACAATTCCTTATCTTGTGCTTTGTTCTATCTGAATTATGATTAGTAGGGATGTCCCGATCACCTTTTTTTGCTCCCGATCCGATTCCGATCATTTGATTTTGACAATTTGCCGATACCGATTTGTCCCGATCCGATCTTTATGCAATGCATCAAGAGAAAAAAAAGCATTCAAGTTGTCCCTTAAGGTAATTTTTTAATTTAAATTAGATATTCTATCCAACATGGATATAGCTTCTTTCTTTCACAGCAGCATTGGATCAGTTCAGTTGTGCAGCATTGGATCAAAACAAAATAAAGCTTATCAGTACTCGTTAGCTTACTGCTACAATTAGACACTGCGCCCACTCTGTTGCCAGATTTGAGAGAAATAAGCCCAGGTCTATGAAAACAAGCCCCAAAGAAGCAACACATACATGATGTTGTGTCATTTGAAAACCAAAACTAAGGCCTCAGGATGACTTTAAGACTTGAACATGGTCATTTTTGTTTTGTAACATTGAATACAANAAATTGGATTTAAAATGTCATGTGAACTCTGTGTGGTGCATTACCCACTCATTGTGCTTAAAGGGGGGGGTAGGTAATTCACTTCAGAAACACTTTCTGTTATATCCCATGGAATGCTCTTAACATCCCGATAGCAATGAATACATTAAATGTTTTGACAATAAATACATACAAAATATCATCTGTGGAAGCCGTAGTACTGTAAAAAGCACGACCAATCATCTGAGCCGGCCCGGCTAAAATAACTGGATGGCCTACCTGCCTGTCAGCCTTCCATCTGTGCACAAACTTATCTCGTGCCCTCATTGGTCATGTGTGTGTTGGAGGAGGGGCTCTGTAAGGAAGTCTTAAGGAAGGGGCAGATTTTTTCCGGTTGTGTTCTTTCAAATTCTAGCGCACTCGAGCGGGTTTCTCCATTCTCACCTTTAATATCAGTGCTTGTCCAGTCACATTGGTTGGAGCTAGTTTGAAGACATGAGTACAGCTGTAACAGAACTATTTACCTTTCTGAACTTTATGGTGACTAATACATTGTTTTGTTTTTTGAAATCGCAGACATGCAGGGGTATACACAGCCGAGGAAGTGGCACTTATTACTCGAGAAAAGCTCATCCGGCTCCAGTCCCTCTACATCGACCAGTTCAAACGTCTGCAGCACCTGCTTAAGGAGAAAAAGCGCAGATACCTGCACAACCGCAAGGTGGAACATGAAACTCTAGGTAACGGCAACTACTATCTGACTACGTGTTGATTACGTACCAGTTCCTTGTTGGAAATCCTCCCACACCTTTTTATGTTTATTTACTGAGCGTTATCTGAACTTGCTTGTATTGCTCTCAGGGAGCAGTCTGCTGACGGGGCCTGAAGGTCTGTCCATGAAGGAGAGGGAGAACCTGAAGAAGCTCAAAGCTCTGCGCCGATACCGTCGTCGGTACGGCGTGGAAGCCCTGCTGCACCGGCGCCTCCGGGAGAGGAGGCAGGCGGTGACAGAAGGAGCTCTTCAGGTGTGTTTAACACCTAAACCATATGTTAAAGGGTCGGTTTACCAAACCACAAACATACCTCCCAAACTCTGGTGATATCCAGCCATGAGATTTGGTTCAAGATTCCCATGTCTGCAACATATGTGGCCATCGCACTGTGCACGTTGAGGGGAAATGTTTTTGAGGTTTTAAACCCAAGAGCAGTTTGTCTTTCCAGAGCCTTTCAGACTCAACCGTAAAATAACGCCTGTAACTCTTTTTGAACACACAGGCTACACAGTTACAAAGTTTAAAGTGCTTTAGTTTGACCCTGAGTTTAGGCTCCACAGCTTACGGTTTACGAAGGGTCTGTTTCACTGGCGGTGCAAAATCCAAGATGTCAAACACCTTGTACGTTACGGTGCCAGGCTTTCACAATAGTAGAAAAAATGCAATATTACTCGCCGATTTATTCAATAAAAAAACGACATCGTTATTTCTGATTGGTCAGGAAACTAGTCACTGTACATTTATTTGTTACCCTTCTCACAACATGGGGAAGGACTTTAGTGAATGCTACAGAAAAGGCTTTTATTGTCCACTGAACTGCAGTGAGCCGTACATTTGTCTGCATGTCTAGATGCCAGTAGAGTGGATGTTCCGTTTATTTTTGTGGGTAATTTAGTTACCTGGTTCCTGTTTCATGTCCTAAAATCCAGTGCACTGCGGCACAGAGCCAACACATGCAGGATGTTGAGTGTAAGACGTTGTTTCTAATGTTTAGTTTGACTTGGTGTGAAGTTATTTTTTCCTACAAAAAGAACATGCCTCGTTTTTAAAATGTCAATGTTGGCTCTCAGGGCTGTTTGTTTGAGATGTTTGCTCAACATATTTGTGTGCAGCAGAGTGGATTTTAATCTCCATTTTGTGGCATCCAGGAATGTTAAAAAGGATAATTATAGCTAGTATGGTTTGGATGTTATCTAACACTTCTTTCCTCTGTAGACACATTCGAGAACAGTGCATGAGAAGTGCACCTCCTTTGTGGAGGGATCCCGATGTACCAACCCCTGCCTGCCCATGACCCGGCACTGCGTCTCACGTATCCTCAAAGATGTTTTCAGCACTCGAGTTGTCTCTTTATATATAAAAGTTCCAGAGTGTTCTTCACTTCGGCCCCGATCAAGACGTGCTGCTCACAGTAGCTGCAGGTTTCAAAGGGCGCCAACATGAACTCCTTCCTGTGGTCTGTTGATTTCTCCCAGAGAAACAAAGGGGGTAATCATTTCAGTTGGAAGGAACAAAATCCCATAATCTTATCCCCAAATCATGAAGGGCAGTTTAATGGTTTTTATATATTTGTATTTAACATGATTTAAATCATATACTTTTCTTTATCTGCTGACGACAAAAAAAAATATTATTACAAGTACTTTCATTAAACTGTCTGCTGCTACCAGAGCTGCACTGAGCTGTACAAACCCTGCAAAGCTCAGACATAATGACCAACTCGTGGTGTCAGCTACTCGTGCATATCATTAGTACAGTTCAGCCTTTTGTAATTTACCATAACCCGCCTCGTATGTTGAGAAATGATTACAGGATTATTCTTGTATAGGAAAAAGTCACTCTAATGGTTTTAAGTTGGTGCAGTTTCTTGATCCGTTTGACTCTTGTTGTCACTATTTTTCTGTTTGTCATGATTTGTCCCTAACCCCGCTGCTCAGACATCTTCCAGGACAGCAACCAGGTGCTCTTCCAGATGTGTCCGGGCCTGAAAGATGTCCCGTGTGGACGCACAGTGCACATGGGACAGTCTGAGGACCCCCGCTGCCCGCTGCACCTCACCCTGCCGCCCCCCATGTTCCAGCCCGAGCAGGAGCCCCCCCCACAGGAGCCCATCACCACCGCAAGCAGAGACATGTACCTGAGTGCAGCAGAGCTTCAGCCCACAGAGAGCATGCCCCTAGAGTTCAGTGATGTACGTAGAAGTGATGATCTCCTACCACTGTCCTATAGCACATATTCATTTTATTAAGAATATCATGTTCCAAACTTATCAATGGAAATGATTCCTGCACTTTTGGGGTGCTTTCAAAACCACTGTAGCTTCTTTAGGTGCAGTTCAAATGATCTAACATTACTTTGAGGAAGTAAGATTAATTCCAGGGTTAGTTTTTCCCTTTATCATGTGTTAAAAGCTGATATATAAAAAAAAAAGTAAATGCAGACCTTTTTGTTCCTTATTTGCATTTGGAAGAGAAAACCAGCTCCAGGCCAATATTTGGAAAAAGAGGATCTCAGATCGCTTTGTGATGGTCAATATATAATAATATAATATTGACATTTGAAATGGGATTAATATCGTTCTTTCCAATGATTGTAAATTACAAGATTGAGATGTATGCCCGTTATCAGTAGTGAAGTCGGTCTCTTGGGGTCTGTGTGCGAGCACCAGAACCATAAAAGGCAAACATTGGTAATTCCTTTATTTCTGCTTCCTCTGGAAGATGCACCAAACTACAGATGTGAAAGCACCCACATAATATTATGGTGGGCGTCTTAAGAAGACGGGGTAGCCGTAGTGAGTATTTGTAACTCTAAACAAGCCCTTGGGGAAATGCTACTGAGAGATTCAGATGTGATCTTGTGAATGCAAAAAAGCTGATGATCAAAAGTTCAGATTGACTACACAGCTCACCATCGGCTGTTAGTATTGTGCAATGTTCTGTGTAAAGCATAAACTCTAAATGTGGCTTCCTGGCAGCAGTTCCACCTGAAGCTGATTTTCTAACCAAATCGGCATTTACAAAAATAACACTGCCTGGTGGTATGAGGTGTAAAAGGAAACAAACATTTAAAATGGCCCCCACAAGTTTTGCGTTGAGATTTAGATTTCCTCCTGTTACACAGGACCTGGATGTGGAAGGGGACGGGATGCAGGGTCCGCCCTCCCCCCTACAGTTTGACACGGCCCTGGCCCTAGGAGGACCACACCATCAGAGCCATCGCTGAGGCCCCCATGGACATCCTGATGGGAGGAGACCTGGACCAGGCGGACCTGGACGCCTCGGGACACGAGCTCTCAGAGAGAGACATGGCTGCCATCATGCATGAGCAGGTTAACTCTCGATCAGGGGCGCCTTGAATATCACAAACTCTCTTTTAAAGATGGCACCCATACACTGAAATAACAACAATACTGTATGCATTGTGTGGGTCTAATAAAATGTTGGCCACAATCTGTCAATACAAGATCAATTTGAAGGCGTGTCAGTTTGTGAATCATGGTGCTGCGATATAATTGGAGGGGTGGGGAAGCAAAACAAAATGCTTTAATCTCAATATTTACATTCAAACTGTTTAATTTATTACAATGATTCCTCCTGATCATACTCGTTCGAGTTTATTTCCTAACTGCTTGTATTGGTGGTGATGGAGAACACAATCTTTGTTTTATCTGAGTAAACAACGCTTTAGAAATCTCCATCCAATTAAGTTGATTTCTTTCAAACTAAATTAGGAACAAAAATCCATCTGTGTCAATGTCATTCCATTCGAGCCCATCCAGGAAACAGAAGAAGATGAACTTTAAAGATGCATAAACTCGCACATTATCAAAACATTTTTGTAATATTTTTTCACAGAATCCGTACTGTGACATTTTATATCCATATCATGCATTAGGAGAGGGAAGGAATCTCTTTATCGGCTGGTAGGAAGAGGAGGAATGGTTGCTGCAAGCAAACGCTCTTCTAATGTTAAAAGGGACCTATCATGCAAAATGCACTTTTTGATGTCTTTTATACATAAATATGTGTGTCGGAACTCACGCAGCGTCAGAAAATAAAACCCTCTCTCTTTTCCTCCGTACCCAAATATCTAAAAACGGGGGAACAACGGAGCTGATCCAGATTTGCGTCCGATATGACGTAATATCTGAAATGTGCGATATGACGTAATATCTGAAATGTGGACCCACGGCCCTATCAGAAACGTTGCTATCAGAAACAATGCCCGACTGTTTTGGTCGTAATATGGTCGGTGTTTACATTAGCATCGCTAACACTCAGAGCTAACCTGTACTGGAGAGCATGTGTGTGAAGAAGCAGGAAGTAAAAAGGAACTCACCTTGTGGTATAACCGGCAAGAGAGAAAGCCTTTGAGCTCCATACTGTTTCAGAGATAATCCTTGATAATCCATGATATGGCGTTTCATCACGGCAGTATTTAGTTTAGACAGTAGCTGCCGGGTCCCGCATGAGCTCAGACCCCTCCTTTTTTATTTTTTAAAGCTTTATACCCCAAATCAGCACTTTTGAAACAGGAAGTGAAATAGAGGGATATGAGGCATGGCTAGAATGGGTGATCTGTTTGGTATTTTGAGCAAAACAC